GGGTAGTTTTGGCGAGGAGCAGCAGAAGGAGCTTGCTGCGCTTGTTGTGTCGGCTGTGGCTGCTTAGCTTGGGGTTGAGGCGCATAAACATTCATTGGTCCTCCTGGTTGTTTGGGGTAAATCGGTTGTTGTGGCTCTGGGGGAGCTGAGGGTTGTGCCGGCTGCCAATGAGCCTGCGCGGGAGCAAAATTACGGTTCACCCCGCGGTTTTTGCCTCGGTATCCTCCTCTATTCCGACGGTTATTATTCCGTCCCTCGTATTTATTATTATTCCCATAATTATAGGGTTGTACTGGGGTGTACTGTGAATGCGGCCCGTTGTTTGCATAGGTGATGCTCTGGATTATTTCATCCTCGTCTTTATATTTATCCTTATGTTTCTTTCCTGTTTTAGCTGGTTTGACTGCGCCCGTGCTGCGAAGCAGCGTGGCGACTCTCCTTATTTTTACGAGGAGGGCATTCCAGTCAACGTCTGCAGGCGTTTCTACATTTAAGGCTAACTGGGTCTGGGCATTAAATCCTCGAATCAGAGCGTCCTTAAAAACTTTGTCGTCATAATCTGGGTAATTGTCCTTATCTATGTCCACCTTTTCAGCTAACACTCCAAGGAGTTGCTTTCTAGTTACATATGTCTCTGGGTCTTCTCCTGCGGCTTGTTGATCGATTACAAATGCGGCCTCTAACGACCGTTCAGGATTTAGGTGTTCTAAAACCACCTTCATCCATGTGTATTGATCTTCAGCTGTTAGGTTTTTAGCAGAGATCGCTGAATTAATGGCCGCTAAATCTGAGCCTGTGGCACAGCGTCTGGCTAATATAGACAGATCTTCCCCGTTTATATTGCCATACGCTGTACTGACTTTTGTGAGCCAGGCAATGGCGTTATCTCGAGTTAGAGTGCCAACTTGTTCAGCGATCGCCTGGGCCTCGTCCGGCTTCCAAGCCCGGGCTTCTGTTACAGATCTAACCGTTTTCTCTTCTCCCGTTTTTATTGTTTTTTCCATGGTATGCACCGGATTCATAGGACGAGTTTCGCATGATTTCTCAGATGCAATGGGAGAATCAGCAGAAAGTTCGTCCCCGAAATCGGGTATCTCTGTCTCATCTAAGGCTCCCGGATGGATAGCACAAATGAGAGCGTCTCTGGTTCCAAGCTTTGATTTAAGGGCTTGAATTTCTTTCTTACATGCATCATGATTAGCTACGGTCCAGCGCTGTTTTGCCTGCTCTGCCAAGTAGCGTGCAGCATGTTGAGCTGCTGCCAACTCCTTAGTGAGTGTAGCTACTTGTGCTTCCGCTTTCTGTGCTCTTTCTTCTGCCTGACCAGCTAAACGTCTAGCGTCTTGGGCAGAATTGGCAAATCCATTTTTTTCTAGGACTAAATTTAATTTTCCCGTATTTAATTTATTTAGTTCCTCTTCATGGTTCTCAACTAGGCAATCTAATTCATCCAGATGCGTTTGTTCCAAATGGCTAATTCTGGCTTGTAGGTGCGTTACTTCGCTATGTTCCTGCTTTACCTCTTTCCTTAATTGTTGGATCAGCAGGGTAGCTTCCTGCAGGGCAAGGAACAATGCCCATGTCCCCGCTCTGCCTTTTAGGGACATGGTTCTTTTTTTCTTATCACAGTAATCCTGAAATGCTTCTCGGACAGCTAATAAAGGATCCTCTGTTTTAAACGATTCCATAGCCCATGGAGAGATGCCTTTTTTTGTAATCCATCTCTCAAGACGAGGTAGATCCTCTAGGGTGCGGATCTTATTTGGCTCAGTAGAGCTCCCGTTCGCCATTTTAGTTTTTCCCTCGGACATTGTTGTTTCTATTTAAGATTTTGCTTAAAAGTTTTTATTTTTATTGGGTTTTTCTTTTTCTTTTTAGCTTTTTGCTCTCGGATGAGATAAGCTTTGAGCTTAATTACTCCTCAGTCCCAAGAGTTTTGGTTTTTAAGGCTAGAATATACTCCCCTGCCAAGATGACCAAAAACTATTTAAATTTGAGGTTTTTATAGGCTAGACAAAAGTCCCCGCCGGGATGACGCTCAGTAACCCTTTATTGGTTTTTCTAGGCTAGACCGCAGTCCCCGCCGGGATTACCATTAACCCTGTGGAGTTTCGAGTGTGGGCTTGGCCTAGACCTCACAACTCTAGCTGGATTACTCTCACTGAACCGGACCTTAGGTTTTTGGGCGTTCCACCCGCCGGGATGACCTTTAATTAACCCGGGAAGGCTTCAGGGCGACTTACAACCAGTGGATCCCTCGAGACAATATGCCTCAGCGAGTGGCTCCTTAGACTCACGTTAATTTATGCACGCTCTGCTTGCAAGTCAAAGCAAAAAGGGAACTTCCAGAGGACTGGAGGAGAGGTGGAGTCTTTTTTTTTTACGGCTCCGCTTTAAGCTATTTTATCGTTACAGGGGGAAGGGTGGTGTGTGTTAGTGTATCGTGGTGCGGATCCTGACACCCTACACTATCTTTCTGCAATTACCACCCACAAGATAGACTGAGAGACGGCTCGCAGGTAGCCTTTAGGACTTCACGTGGAGATCCCTTGCTATCGGAACACCTCTGGTCATCAGCTAGTCCTGGCAGAGGGTCCAGGGCGGCTGACCTCACGACTCTTTTGTGCTTATGGCAAGAGTCTCACGTTGAAGGAGAGACGGGGGAAGCCAACCCACAAAGATGCTCTCTAGAGCCACACACACAAGAACTCAATCACACGGTGATGTATATGCGCTTCACTAAACTATCGCTTGCTCTTCTCTACACGGAAACGCACGGCAAAGTTTCTCCTGTACGTCTGGTCGGCTGAATGTTGACACGTGTCGACTGCGTGTACATTCAGATGAGCAGGATCATCCCGGACGAGCCCCCAGATCTGTTAGCCGAATTGCTCTTTAGGAGAGGCAATTTGAACAGTTTAATAATCGGGATTCAGATCAAGTGTATACGCAGGATGGGCTAAGCCGTTACGCTTCAATGAAGAGACGAGACAGAAGTTTAAACAAATCTCTCTTTACTGAATATGTTGTTCAGACACACAAGAATAATAATAAAACCACTCAGGCATACAAGGACTAAGAAAACAAGGTAGATCACAGCACAGTCGCATTAGCAGGAATATCATTGGTGGGGAATATTTACCTATGTCGTAGCTCAGCTCCGAAACTTCCAGCGGGATGGGAGGGCGGAAGGGGTAGAAAATGGGGTAGAAACACGTGTATCCAGACCAGCCGGGAACACGTGGATTGACCTTAGCTGCAGACTAAGGCAAGGGGGTCAAGAGAGGTTCAAGCAGACAGGAAGAGGTCGTTGGTATGAAGGAGGGGCCCTCTCTTGGCTCTGTGCAAGATGTTTTAAGGTCTCGGCTGCGAGGGGAGGGGGTGGGCTCAAACGGATTACCAGGTAGCCCGACCCCAAAAGTCAGTGATTGGTTATGATGTCAATATTCAAACTATCGATTAACTAAAGGGGAGGTGTCTGGGCGGAGGCAGGAGGTACGTGCCGGGTCACCAGTAGCGCTGACGTGATGGTTGCTATGTGTAATAGACTTTCTATAGTTGGTCTGGCACGGGAGGACCTCTATTGTTAAGCTTGTCAGGTGTAGACATTCGGTCTGGGCTAGGCTTGATTAGCTTCGGGGTGGTGATCAACCTTAATGTTTGCATACATAAAGAGCTTAACAACTCCGGAGACTCTGCTGGCTAGGTGATAATCATCCTATGCAGCTGGCATTGTCTTTGCTTGTCCCCTGGTTGAACCCTGTGCTTCACAGTTTCTTCACTAGCCCTTGCTGTGTCAAGCATATGTCCATAAGCATAACTCATAACATAGTCCAAAATGGATGCCATTGGTAACATAAGGCAGTCCCTTTTTGTCTTGAAACCATTCTGTTGACCCTCTGGGACCAACCTCCTAACTCAAAGTTAGTTAAAGAATTAATTTCGATTTTGTTAGTAGCTGCCAGGTGTTTATTAGCACAATGTTGGAAAACTAATATAATCCCTTTGACAAAGCAATGGTTTCAAAAAATTTGGGACTATCTGGCCATGGAAAAGATTTCCGATCAGATCACAACTGCAGAAAATCCTTTATTCAAATCTTATTTTCTAGAGAAATGTTTCCCATTTTTGAACTACATGGAAAGTCATACAAAGGTTAAAAATCCACTTCCAAAGCAATATACTTGTTTAACCTTTTATTAATCTCTTTTTTATACTCTACCTTTTTTCTCTGTTGGTGGTGTTGTTGTTGTTGCTGTTACAATTATTGTTATGTAAAACTGGTCTGAGCTATATTGTAAAATTCGAAAATAAAAAGTTATTTTTTAAAAAACTAGGATGTTAAAAATGCAGCAATAGAGATTTGCTGATGCATTGATTGCACTTTAGAAACCAGACCAAGTAATTTTTAAATCCAGAATCTGAGGAGAAATTCGTAACAGGAGAATTTCAGAAGCTTGCTTATGGACAGAGTGCTCATATACTTGATTACATATGTACTGATAACCCATAACTCAGGGCTGTGTTCTGTGCTTAGCAAAGAGTTCAGTTGCAATTCTGAGCTGTTTTTTATATCAAAAGGCCAGTTTTTTTAAATGTATACATTTGCCATTTTAAACAGATGCACTTAATTCAGTTCAATTCAGTCTGCTTCCACAGGTCAGAGGGAGTAGAAAAGAACAACATGGCAGTGAAATTCTCTAATTCTTGAGTATTTTAGTCATTTTTTTGGCTTCTGTGATGTTGACGGTTCTTCCCATGCTTTCAAACCTACAGTCATTGTAAGAGCTAAAAACTTGTATTTTGAAAACTGAAGGTGAGACTTTCAGGATGCTGCTTGCCAGGCCTGATACTGATTTTACTGCAACAGCCTGGATAAGTGACACACACAGTCCTAGTCTGAGTACATGTTCAAAAGATTTGGAGGTCTTGACCCCTCTTTCTGCAAAGTGAAATTCTCTCTCCCTTATACTACTTCATCTCCCATGTTTATCTTGCAGGTGATTGTGGGCAGCATCTTTGAAGTCATCTGGGCTGCAGTGAAACCTGGAACTTCCTTTGGCATCAGTGTGTTGAGGGCTCTTCGGCTGCTGAGGATATTCAAAGTCACCAAGTATGTGGCAGGTTAATTTTTTGAATTGTGTGACTGTGACTCTTTAATGTGATGAGAAAGACCAGTGCCTGTAAAAACCAGACTTCCTGCTTTCCAGCTCTCTGTTCCTCTGTATGCCATACCTGTTACAAAAACATTTTTCTTTTGTTCTTCTAAACCAGAGTCTCCAACAGCAATAGAGATTAGTGAAGGGAAACTGAAAAAATGAAAAGAAAGTTAAGACCTTTTGGAGACAATCATGTGCTGCAGCAACTGCAGCTTCCTTTCTGGGAATCTGAAATGGAGCTCTCATCCCTTCACCCAATGAGAGTGCTTTTAGGATGTAGTCTCTGCATCCCCGACTTCCCAATTTGCTTGCTCTTCACCATGAAGCTGCTTTGCACTGGCCCATCTGGCTCAGTATTGACCTCTCCGACTGACAGTAGTTACTCCAGATTTCAAAGAGAGGCCTTCCCTAAAACCAGCTGCCTGAGATTCTTTTAAGGGATAATGGAAACAACGTTGGAGTCCAGGGGCACCTTTAAGACAAACAAAGTTTTAAGCAAGGTATGAGCTTTTGTGTGCATGCACACTTCTTCAGGTACAAAGTGTGCATGCACACGGAAGCTCATACCTTGAATAAAACTTTGTTGGTCTTAAAGGTGCCCCTGGACTCAAACTTTGTTCCACTGCTACTAGTGTTCCCTCTAAGCTGAGTTAGTGTGAGCTAGCTCACAGTTTTTTAGCCTCTGGCTCACACATTTTTGTCTTCGCTCAGGAAAAATGGCTCTAGAGCAAACTAATTTATGCAGCAGCCAAATAGCTTCCTCGCAGCTTGAATGCCAGTAGCTCAAAAGTAGATTTTTTACTCACAAGACTCCACAGCTTACAGGGAGCATTGACTGCTACCCACCTGGACCTATCAATCGAAACTGGGTCCTTCTGCATGCAAAACACATGCTCTGCCACTGTGCTAGGGCTCCTTCTGGGAATACTAAGCTTTTTCATGAGTGCATGAAACTGCTTCATACTGAAGAATAAATTAAGAGTCCAGTGGCACCTTTAAGACCAACAAAGTTTTATTCAAGGTATGAGCTTTCGTATGTACATGAAAGCTTATACCTTGAATAAAACTTTGTTGGCCTTAAAGGTGCCACTGGACTCTAAATTTGTTCTGCTGCTTCAGACCAACATGGCTGACCCCCTGGATCTGCTTCATACTGAATTAGACCACTGGTTCTTCTAGCCAGGCAGTGTCTACCTTAAAGTCTCAGCCAGGAGGCTTTCTCTGTCTTGCTAACTGAGATCCTTTATCTGGAAGCTTGAGCTTGGATATTCTATGTGTAAAGCAAGTGCTAAATTATGATCCATTTACTTCATTCTTGTTCTCCTCAACTGGCAGCAGCTCTACAAGGTTAGGACGAGGTCTTTCATGCTGTGCCGCATAGGGTCCTGTTAACTGGAGATGCCAGGAATTGTACCTGGGATCCTGCATTTGATTTATTTTGCCATGAACTGTGGCCTTCTGCTATCAGCTACAGGAGGCAGGGTTATATGAGGAAAGCAGAGAAATAGGTGAAGAAGTCAAGGGATCATGCAGTAAAACTCTTCATGTCATACAGCCTAGCAGTAGGCTGGCTCTACTGCCTAAGTTGTAAGCAATGTTCTCTCTAAGCTGTGGAGTCTTGTGAGCAAAAATTCTACTTTGTGAGCTACTGGCATTAAAGTTGTGAGTGAGCGATTTGGCTACTGCATAAATTATTTTGCTCTGGAGCCATCCTCCCTGAGCTAAGACAAAAATCTGTGAGCTGGAGGCTAAAAAAACTGTGAGCTAGCTCACACTAACTCAGAGGGAACACTGATTGTAAGGTATGTTTGGTTCCCCTGACCAGCTCTTTGGATGTTTTGGTCACGAGATCCTATTAGGATTGAATTTGCAATCAAGTGTTGTCTTGCTGCCATTGGAGTGCTCTTCAAACCCTGTTCAATAGGAGATCCAGTGAAAGGTCTGAGAAAATTCCCCACCCCTCTCATTTTTTCCCCTAACATCCCATGGATATGCATATTGGCAACTCCAGGATTCAAGGATATTAGGGAAAATGTGCCCATGTATTGAAAAATAGAAACAAACAAAAACAGTAGCAGAAAGAAACCCTTTCAGAACCACCCCTTTGTTTGCTGAAGAACACATTTTAAAACGTATTTAGCTTTTCATCACACAGCAGTCTAGTTTTGAAGGAGTTTTTCTCTTTTTGCTTCTTTGTTGCAGAAATACAAAATTGAACTCTTCTATAACATAGAGACAGAAAAAGCAGTGTCTTCAAAATTAGCCCTTTGTGTGTCCAAAATCTTTTTTTTTTCTTTTTAAAAAATTATATCAGCAAAGGGCTACTTTTGAAAGGGACTGCTGTTTCTTTTGTGGTGGTTTTTATGTTGTGAGGCATGAATGCACTTTGCCCAGGATCCTCAGATCTCAAGCTTGCAACAGTGCACCCATGGACCTTAAGTCCTGCACTTCTTTGACTGTAGTCTGTGCTGACACCATGGAAGCGTGGAGGAGCATTCTCTGTTTAATTCTTGGGTTCTGCTCCTCAAAGTTCCACAAAATTTAGTAGAAGCTCGTTGGAATGCAAAACCCCTAGATTAAGAAGTTAATGAGTTTTAATTGGATGAAGCAGGAGGAATCTACTCATCTCTATTGCAATATACCCTTGGAAAGTTTAAAAGTAGAAGTTGCTGCAAAAGGTGTTAGTGCGGTCTGGGAAACTGTCCTTGACCGATTTCGCACAAGAGCTGCACTGCCGTCGCGCCTCCCTTTGCCCCGCTTCTATTGGTCAATTTCCCACTCAAAGCCACACGGCCACATTTTGACCCGTGGCTTCACCTGATTTTCCCCGTGGTTTCGTGATCCTGTTTTTTGAGGATTATGAAACCACAGTGAAAATCAGGCGAAGCTGTGGGTCAAAATGTGGCCGTGTGGCTTTGAGTGGGAAATTGACCAATAGAAGCGGGGCAGAGGGAGGCGCGACCGCGGCGCAGCTCTTGTGTGAAATTGGTCAAGGACAGTTTCCTAGAAATTGGTCCTTCTTTAAGCAGGAGATGCTGAGGTCAGTGGACAAATAGCCCACTTTGCATGTTACAGGGTTGAAAGTCGATACTGAAAAGAGATTCTCTGCACCTTGGTGATTTTTGGCTCTACTTAAAATCCCACTCACACACCCACACATGCTGCCCTCAAGCAGGTAGCTTGGTAGAGAGAATTTCAGGAAGCCAGAACATCCCCAACTAGAGACTTGGATGGATCAGGGGTGCCTGCCAGTTGCTATGGATACCAACTTCTGTACTTGAAGGATCTGTGATCCTGGACGGAAGAGGAATGGAATTAATTGGCCAGAGAGGGGAGAGTTAGAAGAATTCCTGCCTGCGATCAGAAACCTCTTAATAGTTGCAGTGTAAAATGGGTTTCAATCACTGTCCAGTGTTCTCAGCCTCTCACTTGGCAGGCTTGTCTGTCTAATGTGAGATTGTTAAAGAGATCCATTGCCTTAATGGTCTTTTCTTCATTTTCTGATTCATTAGTTTTCCTAATATAAATGTTCTCAGCTTGTTTTTTCCCCTCAGTAGGGTAAAAGAATGACAAAAGAAGGGAACTTTCTTGAGTAGCGTCCTGTGTCCTTTATTAGATTTTTTTTGTTGTACTCGGTTTTCTTTCTGAAATATGGTAAATATTCAAGTTTTGCATCTCCTCGTGCAGGCCTTCCTAGATTATACCATTGCATACCACAACTTGGGGGTATAGCATGTTTGAATGCTCCTCCATATAAAAATGACTAAATCTCCTGCCCATGGAACACTTATATGTTTGGGCAAAGGCCAGGCTAAAACCCTTTATCCTACAATGCCAATTCTCTGTTTGCCGGCAAGCTTTTGTTTGTTTTGTTTGATTCTGGGAAGTAATCAAAAACACAGTCTTCTTCTTGCAGTATGAAGTGGTACAGCTGAGAAAGTACCAGAGCTTCATGTTCTCTCTATGTGTTTCAGTCAGTTCTTGAAGCGAAAAACTACATGTTAATTTGGGGCTGTGTGATTAAGTATGCTGGGCCATCTCCTGGCACCTTGGGAATTTAGCAGGCAAATGGTGTATCTATATTTGTGATCAATTCAGGGAGTGCCATGCTTGGTTCCTTGAATCACCAGGAGGCAGGTCAGGGTAAAATGGTGATAAATGCATGCAAGTGGTTTAAAACTATACAAAGCAGCTGTGAGGAGAAATTGTATTGGAGGCACAGTGTGATGGGTATAGGGTAATCTCATTCTCCATTGCAAACTGTTCTCTCAGTTGTTGTTAGCTCCAACAGGGAGAAAGACAGGCAAAAGAGGAGGTCCAACTTGCTGCCCCCAGATAGAGTCAAGAAGAAGGAAATACTCAAAGGCTAGAAGTAGGGATGAAGGGTAGCAGCAAATGGGGGTGGGGGAGTTCAGACAGTGTAATAGAAACTTGTCTGCTCAGATTAGATATGGTAGCTGTGACAGAAGTATGAATGCCAAGCCAACTTCAGCAGGGTCCAATCAGCCGTATGGATGGGTTTCTCTACTAGTACCCATGTACATCACTTTCTCTGTTAGTAGAAAAAGGTGTCCAGGAGTCTCCAAAGATTAGGGAATGTTGATTATGAGGGGACTAAAGCAGTTTTCAGATGGCTGCATGAAATGAATCTTTTCCAACACCTTAAAGGTTTTGCACAAATTTGTGGATCCTGAAATGGACCCTTCAAGTCTTCCTTAAAGCTGTGGTTTTTGTTCACAGTTCTTTACACATGAATGACCTGATTAGGATGAATGAGAAAAGAAACTGCCAGGAAAAGACTGAGCCATTAAATTCTAGGTTAATTTTTTTCCCTAAACGAGTGATTGTAGTCACAAGGTGTATTTCCTGTTTTACTTTGACCATAAATCCTTTGACTTGGCAAGCTTAAGTGCTCCATATAGAGAGCAGAGAATATATAAATGGTTAGGGGACACAAGCCAACACGAGAGAGGGACAAGTGTTCTCATTAGCTGATGGCTGCTCAGAATTGCAATTGGTGAAGCACGGAAGGAAAATGTGTCACTCAGAACGTTTCAGTCATGACTGAACGGCATAGTTAGCCGTGCTATTTCTTTGTTTCTTCCTTTAGGCTATTAGTTAGCTGGTTCGCTGCATGTTATGTTCCAAGCCAGTTGCACCAAAATTAATAAAAACAGCAAAACAATGAAGTAAGAAATTAAGACAGAAAAGCAATGAATCTATTAAAAATGACATAACAATTGATCAAGCTAAACAGCAGGGAATGTAATACAAACTGAAGATAAAACAGCATTGAAGTAGAGAGTGTTATACAAGCATCAGCAAGGGCCAGAACAAATTAAAAAGCAAGCAAACAAACAAAGAACAAAAACTTGGTTAAGTAAAAATGTCTGGTGCCAAAAAGAATAAAGAACTAGGCACGAGATGGGCCTCTGTATGGAAGACATTCTGCAACTCTGATATTACCTCTAAAAAGGCCCTGTTTGTGATTTCAGCACAGAAGTTGAGAGTGAACAGAGCAGCCAGTGGTTTTAATTGGTAGGTTGCTATGGTATAGGGGGAGAGCAAAAGAGGATATGTAGATAAGAGAGACTAAAGTTAAACCACATCATAATGAACTGCCCTGCCCCATTAGGTCCTAAGAAATGCCTAGTTGTTCGAATGTAAGCATCCCCATTTATCTATACATTCTCATTGAACTGTCTGAGATAAAACAGCAGATGATGTTTTTGGACTCTACTACTTCAAATTACACGTGAGGGCTCACATGACAGTCTGTTCCTCCATGAAAAAGCTCCCCACACATAAAAAGTTAGCATGTCAGGGAGAAAGCTAGGTTAGAACTCTTCTCTGTGACAAGGTAGTTTTTAATGTGCTAAGACTTCCTACTTAGAACAGTAGCAGATATAGATGGGGAGTCAGAGGCTGGCTCCTCTTCTGTCTGTGAAAAAGATGACTGGCTGATGTTTGCTCATCCACCAGGCCACTGTGATGAATGAAGGGACACTCAGTTTCTGCTGCGACTGTCCCAATATTCCATTCTTTACTTTCCAAAGGAGGTAGCAGGTTTGTCTCCCTCCAGCTTCTTGGTGGATATGCCTACCTCTGGAATGCTAACTTTCTTGGTTTGAAATTTTAGATACTGGAACTCCCTGAGGAATCTAGTGGTCTCCTTGCTGAATTCCATGAAGTCCATTATCAGTTTGCTGTTCCTTCTCTTCCTCTTCATTGTTGTATTTGCTTTGCTGGGGATGCAGCTCTTTGGAGGACAGTAAGTTTAGTCATCTTATCTCAACAGTCTTTGACCAACCAGCACTTGTCCATCAGGGAAGAAAAGCAGTTCAGAGTTTTTGCAATTTCTGGAGCTAGGGCTTTGGCCATTGGTTTGCAGCTGGACATTTGTACTGGTCTAGCCTCTGTGAGAGGAGCTGGCAAAATGAGTGCAAGGAGTAATGATGGGCTACCCACTGAACACCAATAATTGTGATTATTTCAGATTTCTCATCCTCTATGATTCAGCTCAAAGAACTTCACTTTGATTTTGCTGCTTCTTTGTGCAAATTGAGCCCATAATTCTTTGTTGAAGAAGCAAGCTCATAGCTGGGGGGTGCTCCTGGACCTGGGCCTTCTGTTGGATAAAGATGTGGTGGCCAGGCATGCCTTTGAGTGGGTTGTAGGGACCATCTCACTCTGGTCTTCTTCCATCTACATTGGCTTCTAGTTTGCATCTGGATTTGGTTCAAGGTTCTGGTGTTCTTTTATAGTGCTGTATAGTCTGGGACCAGCATACCTTTAGAACTACCTCCTCCCATAAGAATCTACCTGTGCACTCTGGTCACCTTCGGAGGCCCTTCTTCAGGTGCCCCCACCATATGAAGCTAGAAGGATGGCAACCTGAGAAACAGACTTTGTGGTCATGGCACCAAAACGTAGGAACTCCTTCCCTAAGGAGATTTGTCTGTTTCCCTTTACTGATGTCTTTCATCAGCAGGTGAAAATCTTTTTGTTTCATCCAGCATAACCCCAATAATTCTTACTGGCCCTCTTTCTAGTGTTGTTTGTTTATGTGTTTTTAATTGATTTATTTTATATATTTGGAATTCTTCAGATTCTGCTGTGGTTGGGCCTACAGTGGCTGCCGGTGACCTCTGCTGCTGCACCCGGGCATGGAGCGGCAGCCCACATCCTTCTCTGCTGCAGCTCAGCCAGCAGTGGCTGCTGGCATCCTCCTCTATGCCCAGGCCTGCAGCAGCTGCTGGTGTCCGGTCCCACTAGGCTTTGAGCAGCTGCCAGTGTTGGTGCTGAGCTGGAATGGCTCCATAACTGTGTTCTGTGCACGTGCAGACAACCCAATTCTATTGCAAGGGGAAGTAAACCTATCTATATATGTGCTTTTTACTTCAGATTTTTCTGCAAACTTGAGGAGTTCCCCAAGTTTGGAGAAATCTGTTTAGCGTCGGTGTGGCCCTGAGCCGCAGATTTGGGTATCCACAGATGGGGGGTCACATGTCGCTGTTAGTATACAGATACTGTATAAACTGCATGGAAAAACCATACCAAGATGTATCCATGATGCAAAAGAATATACAAAACCAACAATTAAAAGTGGAGATCTAATACCGTTGACAAAAAGCTAAAGTAATATTTATGTATTTATTTATTTATTATTAAATTGGATTTACTAGGCCGCCCTTCCCTACAAGTAGGGCTCAGGGCAATTTACAACAAAATAATATACAATCTCAGATTAAAATAAATTAAAACAAGCCAATAAATACCAATACATAAACAGCATAGTCAAAATAGCAAAAATACAGCATATATTAGATGGCAGGAAAAACTCCAGCACCCCGGCCTCCCTTGGGGGGAGGAGTTACGAGGGATGGGGACTTGTGTGAGAGTGCCAAAGGCTACCCCTGTTGCTGTCCTCAACCGAATGCCTGGCGGAACATCTCTGCCTTACATGCCCTGTGGAGTGGTAACAGCTCCCGCAGGGCACAGATGCCTTCACACAGAGCATTCCACCAGGTGGAGGACAGCCGGACTTCTTTCAGGCCAGGGACCCCCAGGAAGTTCTTATTTCCTGAATGTAACACTCTTCCAGGGGCATACAGGGAGAGGTGGTCCCGAAGATATGTGGGTCCCTGACTGCTAAGGACCTTAAAGGTCAGAACCAGAACCTTGAACCTGATCTGGTGCTCCACTGGGAGCCAATGCAGCTCACACAGCTCTGGTTGAATATGTGCTGTCCATGGGGTCCCAGTAAAGGCCCGTGCAGCTGCATTTTGGACCAGTTGGAGCTTCCGGGTCAGGAGCAAGGGCAAACCCACGTAGAGCGAATTACAGTAGTCTAACCTGGAGGTGACCATTGCATGGATATAAATAGGGAATGTTCACTTATCCCTAAGTACACTGTGGTATAAATGTGGACTAACCTGGCTGTCTTCTAGTGGGTGGAATGTTTGTCAAGGAGGGCTCCAGGAAAAGCTGCAGCATAATTTCAGGCTGAATTTGATCCATTTTAGATTGGGAGAACTTCTGGACAGTCTAGATCCAAGGTAGTCCCAGAGGTGGGTGGGTGCTTAACAATCAGCATCTGAAATTCTCCTCTTTTGGAATTCATGGCATGAAGAGGGGGAACTCTACTTGTCCTACCTTAATCTTCACTTTTCTGCCTTTTCCAGGTTTCATTTTAATGATGAAACACCAACCACCAATTTTGATACTTTTCCCACCGCCATTCTGACTGTATTTCAGGTAAGTTCAAAAGGGTCCCTTTCAGATTCCCTTAGAAAAAAGGGATGGCTTTTTAAAAACAGTTAAAAACAAAATTGATTTAAATATCAAGACTCCCCCCCCCCCCTCAGAGTTGCTGAACATATCCTAAGGGAGCAATCCAAAGCAGGTCTTTACTGAGAAGTAAGTCCTGTGATATTCACTGGGGCTTTCTCCCGGGCAGGTGTCCTTAGGATTGCACTATAAAATACCCAACAAATGGGATGGCAAAAGTAAGGGATTTTTGCAGTTTTCAGAAATTTGGCTGCCCAAAATATATATATAAAAACATTGGTTTATGTCTGGTGTTAAATCTGCAGGGAGATATACTGGAAATAAACTGATGTAATATTGAATCGACTACTACAGGGAGCAAACACATGTAGAACAGAACTCCCCCCACCCTAAGAAACAAAAACTTACAAGTCATGAAAATGAGAATGCAGAAAATCCTTACCTTCACATGGAAGATGGTGGGATGGGTCCTTTCCTTTTGCCACCTCTCCACTGAGCAGAGTTTGGAGCCTTTCTCCAACTTAAATGGCTCATCTATTGAAGGAAGAATTACTTAAGCTGGAGGAAGGATCCTTAGGCTGGTTGGATCCACCCCAATGGGGATGGAAATTTCTGGAAATTTGGGAATTTCCTGTCAATGGCCATTAATCATTGCTGCATTTCTGCTAATTTTGGCATACCCATGCTTTACGTTTTTGAGAGATTTGTGCTTCATAACCAGTCCTAAATAACTATTATAGGGTACAGTACATCGCTTCCCAAAATGATAAGAATGGTTAAACATTTTATGGGAAATGTGCCTTGAACAAATGCTCAGAGGAGTGTTGCCACACTTCCAGTAGTAGAATGACAAATATATATATATATATATATATATATATATATATATATATGTAGACGTATTTTATATGTAGATATATTTTAACAGGTATGATGATTGCAAATTTCAACTAAAGTCATTATTATGATGCAGTGTGTAAATTCTGTTAAGCAAGAATGACTTCTTGTTTCAAATGTCCTTTCACCACCAACCATATATTACACGTGGCTTTACTTGAGGAACTGAAATCAGAACAATGTTTAGTGTTCATCTAGCACATTTCAGTTGTGCCATATATATTATTTATCAGATTTTTATCCTACTCTTCCTCTAAGGAGTTCAGGATAGAATGTGTGATTCTTGTGCACTCTTGGCTATTGTGCTGTGCCATCTCCTTATGCAGTAAAGTGTTCAGATAAGGAAAAAATGAACATATGCATTGAGAATATGATTGCCTTTATTGTTACATTACTGGGTATGCATCTATGCATGAAATGTAGGAGCCTACCCCTGATGAGGTGGGGGGGGGAATAAATTATGAGGCAGTTGTAGCAGGTGTTTTATAAGCATCAGCCAGCCTACATCCTGCGGAGCTGGGCAAGCACATGGTTCTCCTCTGACACAGCTTCACAAATAACCCTTTCCTGTTGTGCCTCCCACCCTATTGTAGCTGATGATTACAATACGCCCCCCTGGCTCCACCTGTCATGACAAGGCATTAACAGCAGAAGTGACCTGCTTTATGTCTTTGCCTGCAGCTCCCAACATTAATGAGGGCAGTAGCCTGAGATGGGCCTGAGGTCATAAGAAAAATAACATTGTGTTTGGCCTTCCAGCTTTTTGCAGGTTAAGATAATTGAGGGATGGAATGATAATCAGTGAGGAAGTGAGAGGAAAATCATAGCCCTCCGTTCAACAGTGTGTTGGGAAGGGAGAGGAGGAAAGGCTCAAACAAGAAAGGCCAGATTCTACCTCTGCTCTTTCTTCTTGCTATAAAATGCATCCATTATTTCCCCCATTCTGTGTTGCTGGTACACACATTATGGTTGCCAACCCCAGCTTGGGAAATTCCTGGATATTTGGGGGTGGAGACAAGGGGGGAAGAGTTTGGGGAAGGTACTGAGCTCAGCAGGGATGCAATTCCATGGAGTACACCCCCTTCCAAAGCTGCCATTTTTTCCAGAGGAATTGATCTTGGTAGTCTGGACATCATGCATCATCCTGAGACAACCCCTGGAGTTTGGCAGCCCTAACAGATGTGCATTGATAAAGTGGCACATACAAGCAATCTGGATGTGATAGGATAGATGATTGCATCAAGGTTCCTTTCGTACATTGTTTACTGATGTGCGTCTGTGCTCATACATATTGGTAGAACACCACTCAATCCCTCAGCTAGGGTTGCCAGGTCCCCCGGGGGGGGGAACCCCCGCTTGATGGGTCCGTTCCCCGCCGGCCTGGATTGGGCTGCTGGGGGGAACCCCACCCCCAAAGTGCCAGGATCACGGAGACATGCCCGGCGTTATGATGTCACCCGGAGGTGACATCATCGCATCGGGCACATTTCAGGGGGACACTCTATCATTTGAGGGAAAACTCTATGGTTTCCCCTCGAATGATAGTGGTCCTGGCCCCAACGTGCCTGATGTGATAACGTCACTTCCGGGTGATGTCATTGGGGCACACGCGCAAAGCACTCATGCCAAAGAACTCCCGGAGAGGGCCAGGACTCCCCCCGCTGCAGCCAAGGTAGGACTTGGCAACCTACCCTCAGCTCATCTAGGGTTGCCAGGCAGGGCAGGGGTTCTTACCAGCAGCTGGGGCCCTCTAGAGCAGGGGTGTCGAACTCATTTATTATGAGGGCCGGATCTGACATAAATGAGACCCTGTTGGGCCGGGCCATGTGTGTCATAAAATGTAATGCCAGGTAGCAGAGATATAAACTTTATAAAGGACACAAACACAAAGGGTTTTTTTTAACTTAAAATAAAATCATGCTTAAAATATTAGCACTCTTGCAATATTTTGTTTATTTAACAGTGTCTGATAACTGACACCTCTTGCTCTGAATTATTGCATCAAGATGTCTGTGTTGTTGCAATCTTAAGTGTGCTGTTCAGGTGTGTATTTGTAAGCTGCAAACCTACAATGACACAGCAGCAGCAGAACTGGAATAAGAAGCAGAAGACAGCCACTTCCACTGTGGGCCTGATAGAAGCCCTCCCGGGCCACATGTTTGACACCCCTGCTCTAGACTTTTGCCCAAATACCAGAGTATTCCCACTGTCATCTGGCAACAAGCTAATGCCACTTCTGGACCCACAGGGAGTGATGTCAGCACTTTAGGATGCCCCCCCCCCCAGTTTTCCACCATTTTCCTCTAGCCATCTAGCTGAACGGCAATGAGGGCATGCCTGTTGGTGGCTGCCATTCCCCTGCTGGGGGCATGGGATCCCCTGCCCCTAGCGAGGGAATGGCAGCCAGGTTGCCAGCCTCCATGTGGGGCCTAGAGATCTCCTGCTTTTAGAACTGATCTCCAGCTAACCGAAATCAGCTCCCCTGGAGAAAACGGCTGCTTTGAAGGGTGGACTCTATGACAGTGTACCATGGTGAGGCCCCTCCCCTCCCCAAACTCCACCCTCTCCTGGATCCACCCCCCAAAGTCTCCAGGTATTTTCCAACCCAGACCTGTCAATGCTAGGCAGCCCTAACTCATGCAGTGATGCAACAGGAAACATTTTCTGAGTGAATAGCATTTTGTGGCAATTCTGTATAAGAAATGCTCCAATCCCATCTGATATAAGAGTGACCTGCTCCCCAACAGAGGCTAATTGGAAGAATGCAAGGCCAGAGAAGTATATCATGAGGCGTAAGAGGCAGCCTTCTCCTTTGTGTGGGTACTTTAGGTTCCCAGGAGCTTTTAATCAATGTATTTCTTGTGACATCCTCATAGTTCACTCATGCCACAGAGATTGATTGAAAGAGGCCTTGCAGGATGTTTTCCCCCAACCACAGACAGCTAATTGAAATGAAGAACAACATCGCCTTTCCTGCCATAAAAAGCTTCCCAATCACTTCATGTACAAAATAGAATTATAACAATTTAAATCAAACAATAAAGCAGCATCAAAAAGGTAAAGAGCAGAACAGAGCTTGTTACCTAGCCAGCCTCCTCAAAGGTTCTAGAGGGCAAAAAGTGTTTCTGCAAGCCACTGAAAGGTCGCAAGGGAGCTTGGTGGGTGAGGCCTGCTTTCTTAGAGAACTCTTTAATAAGACCACTGCTGTAAGAAAACACTTGCATCTTGTAACCTTTGGCCTTGCCTCAGATAGCTGAGGCAATTACTGTAGGCCCTCTGTTGTTTTTTTTCTTTCTCTCTTCCACACTTTTCTAATTAACTTTTCAGATTCTGACCGGGGAAGACTGGAATGCAGTGATGTACCAGGGGATAGAATCCCAAGGGGGTGTCCACTCAGGAATGTTCTCTTCGATCTACTTCATTGTCTTGACGCTGTTTGGTAACTGTATCCTTGCACTGCCTAAATTTGATTTGCTAATGATGGTTTGCGCCACCTCTTCTCTAGCAAATGCACATTTCAAATCAGTGGTGGTCAGCTAATGGGCAGCTGGTGAAAGTTACTGGAAAGCCATTAAGTGGGAAATTGATCCATGGTGAAATGAGGCTGTTTATGAAAAAGGAAAGATCAGTCTTTCAGATGCTGAAAACCTAGACACCTGAAGGTCTCTTTGCATAGAAACACATCCTAAATTGCCCACTTCCTTTTTTCTGTAAAAAAGCGTACCTTCTTTTTTGCATATTAACAAACATTTGTTATGCTTTAGAAGAGCAAAACCAACACGCCAATGTGTTCTGCCACCATTTAGCACCCAGAATTGTAAACAAATATTTTTATTCAAATTGGCACACTCCAAGAGCCAAACAGGACATGATGGGATGGCTGTGTTTTTATTCATGTGTCTTCTGTTCATGTATGGGGCAAGAAGGGATTGCACAATAATAGGCACGTGGGGGAAGGAGCACAGTGAGCTAAAGAGTGGGAAGCTTTAGTTCTCCCCTTACTTTTGTGCTTCTTTGCATGTGAAAATGGATTCCCACCCTTTTTATATCTAGATGGGGCATATGCAGAGCTCTTTTTGTAGAAAAAGCCCAGCAGGAACTCATTAGCATAATAGGCCACACCCAGCAGCAGAAACTCATTAGCACATTAGGCCACACCCCTGACAGCACAGCTCATTAGCATAATAGGCCATACCCCCATGCCTTCCCTTGGCTTGCCCGGACACCGCATGGCTGCAGGGAGCCCGGGCAAGCCAGCCCTTGGATAGGCCAGGGAAGGCACAGGGAGTCAGGGCCCCCCTTGGCCCACCTGCCTCGAAGTTGCTGGTTGGGGGTCGCTCTCCAGGCCTTCTCTCTGTAGCCAGGCACGCAGAGGTTTTGGCTGTAGTGGGCGTGGCCAGCTTGAACTCCGTTCCTGTGCGTTCCTGCCCAAAAATAGCCCTGGGCATATGTATGAATGAATCCCAGGTGTGGGTGGATGACACGTGATGCAGGGACCAATCCCAGCCAGCTCCACTCTGAAGTAAGTCCCAATTTGTTCAGTGGTGCTTACTCCCAGGAAAGTGTTCTTAAGATTGTAGCTGCAGCCACCTTGCTGAATCTATACAAGTTGGGGTCTGGTCAGTGTCTAGTTGGGATCTGGGATTCCGGGATGAAAGAAAGATGAGAAACACATGCAGTAAATAATAAATGTATGTGTGTGGCACTCCTGTGCCTTGTCTGGCCTCAGTATGCTATATTTGTGAGTATTTCATGTGTATGCCTGGAAGTCATGGTTGACTTCTGGCAACCGCTAGAGGGGCTAGGACATTTCAGAGAGATGGCTTGTTATTGCCTGCCTCTGTTTCACAGCCCTGGTATTCCTTGGAGGTCTCCCTTCCAAGCACTTGTCAGGATCGGCCCTGCTTAGCTTCCGAGACCTGACATGATCAGGCTTGCCTGGGCTATCCAGGTCAGGGCCTTTCTGTTGCTTTTCTTGACTCACACTCCACTGCCAAGTGGTGTCAGAGATTCATGGGCTTGAAATTCCCTTGGGAATATGTGTAGCACACCTAATTGCAGTCACTGCATGGTAATGCACACACGTACACACCTTTCAGCACACAGAAGATGCATTCTCACTTGTGTGAAAGGCAAATAGGAACACCTTTTTAAAAGATCTGATTCAAACATATAGGAGAATGGAGTGGCAATGAAATGGCAAACAGCTGAGTTGGTAAAATTGACCCTGCATCACTTTACACTGCCAGAGGAGGAGGATCATATTCTGGAACTGTTTCGCTGTCTTCCTAAATGAAGAAAATCAGAAGAACAAGGAAAGATAAGGTGGAGCATCTTCCTCCCTCCTGTCCCACTAGTTTTCTGTTTGTGTGGAAATTTACATGTGAAAGAGAGCTTCAAGTTTGAATCTACCACTAGAAGTCTCAAAGGAATCCATTCTGCTATCTCAGGGCTCTGCCGTTTCATTCTCCTGCATGTATGAACCAGGTCTAAGATGGTGCTGCCACTCATTCTTTCAGAAAGATCTGCAAGTATGAAAATAATTGGAGTGGCAGCTTTAATCAGCGGCACCTTTTATTTATTTATTTATTTATTATTTTCTATTTATATCCAGCGTACAACAAGTTAAAATACAATAAAACACAGTGCATAAATGCAGTACCATAAAAATTCCACATAAAACAATATACAAGTATTTAACTGATTGTTGTGCTTTTAGTCAGTTTATTGCAGCTAAGAATTGACTTAACATTGCAGCCCCAAACGAAGTTTTAGGCCAGCTGGGAAAAGCAATTGCTCCCTGACAAAGAAACATCATCTTGCTAGATAGTAAAATATCTATTTTTGGTTTCTCTACCCTTCACAATGGGATGTTTGTGTGTTCAAAATTAGACAGTTTTTCTTCTCTGTCTATGCTTAAAGTTGGACTAAAAGAGTCAGAAGTGAGGGTGACTACAGATTTAAGAGCTGGGTGTAAATGAGTCAACCCTGCTGTTTTGGGTTTTTTCCACCGGGAAGGATCATCAGTGGCTCCCAGTTTGTTTCTGGGTTCAGTTCCAAGTGCAGGTATTCAATCTCTAGCAGTTTGCTAAAAGAACAGCATTAAATGCAGCAATTAAGAAAATATAGAATCGTTAAAATATCCTAAAACGTGTGCAGTTTTAATTCTAGGTTGCTGGAAAGGATAACGTCTCTGAGGTGGTGCAGATGCTTTTTTCTTACTGCTCAATAGCTACTTCCCTAGCTACTTCTCAAATTAAGGGACAGTCCTTCCAGGCAACACCCAACTGTAGCTTCTAGACACACTTGAGCCTGCCCATTTTACACACTAAACATGGACTGCGGTCAGACTGGAGCCTTAGTGCAATTTGGCAGCGCCTCTAAGCACTGTTCCCTCTAACCTGAGTTAGTGTGAGCTAGCTCACAGTTTTTTTAGCTTCTGGCTCACACATTTTTGTCTTCGCTCAGGAAGGATGGCTCCAGAGCAAACTAATCTATGCAGCAGCCAAGTCACGCGCTCACAACTTTAATGCCAGTCGCTCACAAAGTAGAATTTTTGTTCACAAGACTCCACAGCTTAGAGGGAACAGTGCCTCTAAGTGCTCCGATTTAAAATGTTGCGGGGAAGATCAAGCAGGCAGCATACCCAGCTGCGGCTCCCCACCGCACTTGCTCCCATGGTCAAGCATCCCACATTACTGTGGCACCTCAACCATGGAGCATGTTGTCGCTTTATGGCTGGGCATGTGCATAGGTGCTTAGGTGCACATAGCCGAGAACATGGGGGACAAAAAACTACTTGGAAATGGATCTGACCGGTCCCACTCCCCATCCAGCTTGCATGTGCAACAAGTTTGTTCAGATGTGGAAAAAGCGGAGTGGAAGCACAGGCCATCTGGAAACCACTGGATATCCTCTGGTAGCTATTTAATCTGTATCCAACTCATCATACAATGGGGTAAGTATGACTGGGGAATGGCTTCCAGGTGTGGCTGTGTGACCGAGCCCATTTAATCCGTATGGGAAGCGCAACTATATTGGGCCAAACTGCCCATCTGACTGCAGCCATGGTCTCCCTCTTGTCACTACAGTTACCAGGGTGTACTTATTTTATTGTGTGTGTGTGTATTTAATTTTCCAGCATATGTCCATAGCAGCTTACCACAACAGAAGAAAAATCGTAATAAAATGAAACTAAGACACCAATAGCACTAGAAATAACCAGAAAATATATATCAGTCGAATGGCATTCTCAAAGAGAAATCCCAAGTGACCAGTGAAAAAGGGAGACAACCCTGCCCTTCTAACAATCCAAACAAACAAATGTGCGGTTCCAAAGGCAATTGGTTCCATTGCCTCAGTGCCATGTGTGTAAAGGCCCAGCTTGCAGCAGCAGACACAAATACACAAAACTGATGCAGGGCCCAGTTTGATGCACAAAGAAGGGAGGAGGATCTGTGTAGGGAGAGGCAGCCTCTGTCTCACCAAGCACAGCATCCCTGGAGAACTCTTGACCCAAACCCTGCTGAAATGAATGGGCAGAAATAGGAGCTTGCTTCAGTGAAGCTCACACAGAAGTTCTTGACTGAGTGAGCTGGTAATCCACGTAATGAAATATTTTCCTGGTTACAGTTAAATTACAGATGAGCTGGAAAAGGGTTAGGATTTAATAACAGTCATTATTCTTTTAAGCATGCTGATCATCCATTCACAGGACTGCTGTATATGAACCCGTCAGGTACAGTTTGGGGGCGCCATGCTGTGCCCACTCTTCGAAGGAAATTCTGTTGATGGATGATTCCACCAGAAGGCTATACTTAGGGCAGGATGCTTTTAAGAATGATTTCTGCTGTCTTCTCCTTGCTTCTCCTTCTTTTACATTTCAGTAGCTGGTGCTATCATGCCCATCTCCGGGGGGGGGGGGGCAAGCTGGATGTGATCTACTGTCCCTCACCATTGCAAGTCTGCTGACCCCCAAGCTTTGCTTCCCATTGTTGCATTCTGAATAACTGATAATGAACTCATGCATTGCAGACCAGAGGAATCTACTGACTCTCTGATGCATTTATAAAATAGCAAACATTAAGAAGAAGAAGAAGAGATTGGATTTATACCCCGCCCTTCACTACCCAAAGGTGTCTCAGAGCGGCTTACAAACTCCTTTCCCTTCCCCTCCCCACAACAGACACCCTGTGAGGTAGGTGGGGCTGAGAGAACTCTTGACAGAAACTGCTCTTTTTCAAGAACAGCTGTGCCAAAGTTATGGCTTGCCCAAGGTCATCCAGCCAGGTTAGAGTCAGCGCACATAACCACTACACCAAATTGCTTTCTGATTCTCAGGGACAGATGGAAATGAGTTCACTGTATAGCTGCCAACCTCCAAGTGGTGGCTGGAGTGCCCTTGGAATTGCAACTGATCTCCAGGCTACAGGGCTCAGTTCCCCTGGAGAAAATGGCTGCTTTGAAAAGAGGACCCTATGGCATTGGCCTCTGTGCTCAGCAGAAGGTAATGCCATGCAGTCCTCTTTCCAAAGCACCCTTCACCAAACCCTGCCCACCCCTCACCAAAACCCGCCCTCCTCAGGCGCCCTCCTCAAATCTCAAGGAGTTTTCCAACTTGGAGTTGGCAACCCTAGTTTATTGCAACAACGTTGAAATGCATGAGGAAACCAAATAAGTGTGCATGTGCCTGTAAGCAAAAAAAACAGCACCCACATTAGCAACATGAAGGGAGACTCACTCTGATAAACCCAACTCTCCCTTATGAGATTTGGTGAAGCTGTTTGCTCTCTTCCACTGGAATCACTCTGAATTTGCAACGGACACCAGAAAATCAGGCCTGTTTGGTCTCTGTAGAAATCCATCTTCTCAAGTGTTTCAGACATAGACTAATTGAAAGGAAGAGAAATCCCTGATTTATTTTAACATTCAGTGCAGTTTCCAATTAACATTAACGAGGGTTTCTGTGCTAGATTGTGGATGAGGCTTTTGAACGTTACTGTTTCCTCCATTTACCCTGCTGATACCATATCAGAAGGTGCTTTCCTGAGGAGTTTCTTTAAGAGAATGCCTGCATTTCCTAGAGGGAAATCAAATGTGATGGTATATGGAAGCAGCCCAAAGGCATTTTGCTTTCCCAAGTGGCTGAATTTCTGCAGTATGAGCTCCAGGAAGTCTTGCAATGTTATGGATGGTGCTGAGGGTTCGGTTCTTGGATCACACAATTTGGGAGTTGTTAATGCATTATCAGCTTGCGGCAGCTGGAATGGGCTTCAGCTGTTCTAGTGCAAAACGAAGCAGAAACCCATCTTCTTTGCAGATAGATGGAGTAGCACAGCAGAAACTCTTGCCTAATTGTCTTGATAATGGAGAAATAACTCTAGTAATAGACAGGAAGCGATGACATTGGGAAATGGTCATAACATCCTACTAGAATCTACCCAAATTATGAACTTTTCCTTTACAGCACGATGATCCTACTCCTACATTCACCACAAGTAATAAAGACATCACACAAGTCAAGAATAACTCCAGACATCTCCCCCCCACCCCATTTTTGCTTGCCTTTATGTAGCAACACACTGGTGCCCAACATACCCTGCAGTGTGAGAGACCTTGACGGAGCATTTCTCAGATTGCATATTGTTGCTTTGTAGTACCTGTTATGTGGGGTCCCAGCCCAGCTCTCCCAGTTTGCTGTGCTTCTGGGCCACAGAAGGAGAGGGGAACAGGTCTGAGAGCACCAGATTTCTCCTTCTCTTACTGGCTGCCCTTCTGCCTGGACAAGGGTAACTCAGGAGTTTCTCACAGGTCTCCTCCCAAGCCTTTCTGCTACAAATGATGGCATGCCTTTTGGCAAGTCTCTGCCCTTTGCAAGGAGAGCAGTTGTCAGGAGAGGCAGGGAGTTGTCCTTCATGTCAGTCTTTGGACCCCACCCCTTTGAACCCTCACCACCAATCAGCTGTAGTATAGGTAGAGACAAGAACATGAATATAAACTAATTATAAGGGGGAAAAAATACATGTATTTATTACAGAAATGTTTAAAAACCCTATTTTTTCCTTTCCCCCTTTTCCCCCTTAACAGAACTCCACGTTTGGTCCTACATCAACTTGTTCATTGCCTTTTGATCGCTATAGGAATCTATTAGTACTTTATATAGTTTGACCTCTGAAGAAGGCCCCATTGGGCCGAAACGCATTAGGGCACTATGGTTTCCCTCATGCATGTGTCACTTATGAGGCTTTAGTTGGGCCCTTATGTTTTTAAAGATTCTGTAATAAATACATGTATTTTTTCTTATCATTAGTTTACATTCATGTTCTTAACTATTGGTCCTTTACTTGTTTTCTAACTAGGTTCTTGATTCAACTTTGTTGGGTTGTCCCCCCCCTTTTATCCTGTATAGATAGGGACGCTTTAAAATTTGGTACTCTTCTAATCCCCGATTATACTTTCTAAACCTACTTAATGCATCAGGGCTGTTGGTGGCCTAAAACAGGTTGAGTTTCTATTGAGTTTGAATAGATCTTTTTCTGCAGTTTTCTACAGATTGTCTTCATACTGTTTTCATTCTGAGAGCTTTGACTTTTTCTGGACCGTGCCCTAAATTTCAGCAGTATCTGCTTACATATGAACAAGATTGTTAAGTCTCATTCTTTTCCCAGGAGGGAAAACCTTTCCAGTTGTTTCTCATTTTTATTATCTGTCAAGCAAAAAGTTAACAGAAGCATCACAAAACAAAATTTAAAGTTAGCTGACTGAAGAACTCCAGCCCTGTTATACGAGCTACAAAGGGTTTTTTCTCTAGTATAAATGGACATGGCTTGAAATAATGAGACCAACATTAAGAAAAGTGGGACATCAGCGAAGTACAGTCAGAGCTGGTAGCTGGAAGGTGAAAATATTTGCAGAGAAATGGTGGCAGTTTCCTTGACTTAAAATGTTTTGAGCTGCTCCAATACTGTCTGAATGTAATTTAGAAGAAATTATGCTATAAGAGAATTAGATACAATATAGATTCTGGTCCCTCCACAGATGGATATATGAGAACATGGGTTTGGAACAAATAACCTGTGTGTATATCTGCAAGCACTAGGCCACAAGTTGGTTTGAGCTCTTGGGGTTGCTTTGGAGTGAGAGGGCTAAACCAGACATAATGGCAGGTCTGTGAATTTATCTCCTGCAGCTTTAAGAAAGGTAAATAGCAGCCACTGAGGATCCTGATCCAGATTGGACCTGTGGGATAGGCAGCCCATTCCATCAGCACTGCTTTTCTGACACAAATTTTCTCCTTCCTGCGAAGTACAATTGGCCCTGCAAGGAAAACTCTATGCTTGTGCTACCTCTCCAGAGACCCATTCGAGGCAGCTCACAAAGTAAACATACTACAACAAAATCATTAAAAAAAACAGCAATATAACAATCAATATTAAAACAAACTATCAAAAATCATAAAACCAGCATTGGTGGTGGTGGAAAGTGCCACGGAGTCACAGCAGATTTATGGTGACTCTGTAGGTTTTCAAGGAAAGAGACTAGGGTTGCCAAGTCAAACTTACGAAATAGCGGGGGGAGTCATGTTCCTCCCTGGGAGTCTTCTGGCGCGATAGTGACGTCATTGCGTCGGGCACGTTGGGAGCAGTGTTCCCTCTAAGATGAGTTAGTGTGAGCTAGCTCACAGTTTTTTAGCTTCCAGCTCACACATTTTTGTTTTAGCTCAGGAAGGATGGCTCCAGAGCAGACTAATTTATGCAGTAGCCAAATTGCTCGCTCACAGCTTTTATGCCAGTAGCTCACAAAGTAGAATTTTTGCTCACAAGACTCCACAGCTTAGAGGGAGCATTGGTTGGGAGCGGGGCCACAATCATTCGAGGGAAAGCCATAACGTTTTCCCTCGAATGATAGAGCGTCCCGCAGTAATGTGCCCGACGCGATGTCGTCACCTCCGGGTGGCGTCTTCACGCCACGCACGTCGCACACTTTGGGGGTGGGGTATCCCCAGTGGCCCAATCTGAGCCAGCGGGAAACAGGCCTCTTGAGCGGGGGTTTCCCCGCCCCCCACAGGACCTGGCAACCCTACAAGAGACATAGCAACCCTGGTGGTCTCCCATTCAAATACTAATTGGAGCTGACCCTGCTTAGCTTCCAAGGATCTGATGAGCACCACTTCTATAAGCCCTGAACAAACAGTACTAGCCTAGATAAACCAGTAATCTAATTCAATAGAAGGCAGCTTAATGTCATATCTTGGGTTTCTGAGTATTTATTTATTTACATTATTTTCATTATGTACAGTCAGCCTTTCTCACTGGGATTCAAGGCGGATTACACCGTATGCATGTTTGTACCATGTACAGAAGGAGCTCTAGTGCCAGGGTAGTTGCCCAGCTTCTTCAAGCCTCCAACAAAACAATGTGCACAAGTTCTTCTTTTCAAACCCTTGCTCCAAGATGGAAACTCTTCTGCTGTTCCTGCTGGGAGGGAAACTAGAGTTCAGTTCAGAATATATGACCTCCTCCTGGTCGTTGTTCTTTTGAAAGTGATGCTGTGATTGTTCTGCTCAGTAACGTGTGCTTATGCATATCCCTTCTTTCAAATTAAGTCCCTCTGTTAATCCAGCTGGCAAGAACAAGAGTTGCTATCTCTTAATAGTTACTGGAACTCAGAAGTCTGACAGTGTGATTATAATTGCTTCCATTTCCCCCCTTAAACTAGCTGGACCTGACAAACAGACATAGGGGAATGGCATACAGTCAATCTTCCAGCCCCTCAGCTGCCTTCGGTTTCCTGAATTTTGCATTTCCTGCATACAATTTGAAGGTCACCTCTCTTTATTTAATAACCTTTCAGTGGCAGCTCCCACTGCCCTGTTTCTCATCTAGTCCCATTGCCCATCCTCTCTGCCTGTCTGCTGTGGGGCAAAATGGCATCACAGGTTGTTCTATCAGGCACAGGCGGATGATGGGTCCAGAAAGGACATGGGTGGAAGCATCCATCTCTGTATCCTTTGTGGCTCAGAGATTGTGACAAGAGGGTTGCTGAAGGTTGGCCCCTAGGAACCTTATTCTTGTTTCTTGGTGGAGGCTGGGAAGGTGAAACTAGAGCAAGAAGCCTCGAATGCCATCTAACCTATTTAAGTTGAACATTGTGTGAAGAACTGTTTAAAATCTTTAGCCAATTTAACTAGATACGCTGCTGAACGTCTTCCTGGCCATCGCTGTGGACAACCTAGCCAATGCACAAGAGCTGACCAAGGTAAGTGTATGAAATGTGCTTTCAGCAGGTATTGGCAACAAGCGGCTGCTTGGCGCACAGTGTTCTTTCTGTAAAGGAAGCTGGCGATTCCTGAATGCTCTTCCCATTTGTTTAAAAAAGACTATGCCTCCTGTTGGATTGAATGCCCTTGAGCTTCACTTTGGCACATGCATGTTCTCCCTAGAACATTTCATTGCCAAACTAGAAGTTTACAAGAAGCTCACCAGGGAAAAGTATATATAATACCGTGAGCATATCCTCCAGCATTTCTCTGATGAAAATACAAACTTGTAACACCTCCATTTTCATTTCACTTTCTGAGCTTCCCTTCTGCCTGAGCCATCAAACTTTGCTGTAGGCCCTACTCTGCCTGCTGTATTAGTATCTCCTGCAATAAACTCCAAACCCAAGAGTATCTGGTCTTTTGCTTAAAGGCACAGTTGAAAAACATAACTGTTCAATCAACATTTCAAAATATACCGCAGCAATTGCAGTGTATGAAAAGGACAGGCTGTGCACAGAACAGTGCCTTGCAGCCCAATCCTAGGCTAGGGTTCCCAAATCCCCCCGGGGGGCAGATTTCCCCCCGCTTTCAAGGCCCAACTTCCGCCCCGCGTGGAATCGGGCCCGGGGGAAACCCCACCCCCGCGCACGTGTCACCCGGAAGTGATGTCGCACGCTGGAGTCCTGGAGAAAGCTGACGTCATCAAGCCAAGCCGAGGGAAAAAATGCCATCTGGAACATGTCTAGTCTACAGCTGAAACAAAGTCGGCTCCAAACGTGCGATTTAAAGATTTATATGTGTTGTCCTCCCTTACCGCTATGAATCATTGTTAGTCCCTTGTGAATGTGTAATTGTAAATCGCTCAGAGCCAGCAGCCCTGCAGGATTGAGCGATTAATAAATTGAAAGATTGAAAAATTAAATGTCCAAGTGAGACTAGGGTCACCAGAAGTCAACCATGACTTCCAGGCAGACACACACACACACACACACACACACAAATACAAAAAAATAATAATACCGGACACGTGGCAACCTTAATTGGTTCCACTATGGAAACACCACCTGATAAGTCAAGACTCTCAAATCCAAAGAGAAATTTATATGAGGAGACATTTGGAAGTATTCTAGCTGAACATGGCTGGGTGACCATCTACATGCAGTTGTAAAAATCAAATTCCAATTTCTGTTTCACTTCCACAAGAGTGCCTGTGAATGCACATGAGAAATGTTTCTTCTGAACTCGTCCTTGGCAAGAGGTCTGTGTTGCATCAATTCCTTTGGGCTGAAAAAATACCATAAACAATGAAGCAGCTGACACAAAAGGGAGACCCTGACTTAAGGAGAGACTTAGGGCTAGAGCCCCCAAATCTTGAGGGCTGTGGGAGCCAGAATTACTTATAAGCGATCCCTGCATTTTGGATCATTATGTCTACTTTGTTCTGCATAGTTTGGTTGAAGATTGCCAGCAGATTGGTTGAAGCAAAATACTCTCCATATGTGTGTTTGTTGAAAGTAATGTGCTATCTAGGGGAGGAGGTGAATGATGCTGGAAAGGTCAAGGATACAGATCTGTGCAGGGTGAGCTGGTCAGGCTGGAAATGACATTCTTCCCTATCCTGTGTGGATTTTGTTGTGTCCCAGAAGCTCTGTAACTAGACAATGGCTCCTCCTGGGGGAATGGTCTTACTCTTTAGGAGAATGGAAGGGTGCCCCCTCCACTGAGAGCAGAGTGCAAGGTTTTTGAACAGTGTCCTCTGAATGGAATATGTGCATCTCTGCCTAGTGGCTGGTGGCCACTGCCTACAGACACAATTCTGTTTCAGGGTCAAGACTTTTGCTACAACTCTCTTTCTCCTCTTGGCTAGATTCGTCATCTTGAGGAAAGATTCCTCCTGTCAGTTTTTAATCTCTTTCTGCATTTTATCAAACCCCTGGGGATTCTTTTGTTGTCTCCCCCCACACAAGATTTGCAGACGCCTTCACCAGCAATATGAAGACAGAGATTCCTTTCATTGTTGTTGTTTTTTTTAAAGGTCCACCTCACTCTTTTTAAACCTAACTTTCCCCTTTTGAATATTTCAGAAGCCAGCTGTGGAAGGTTTAGGAACCTGACGTTACTAGCGTTTATGGTTGTGCACAATTAAATATTGATGAAATCAAAAGCACTGATGAATCGCCTGACATCCTTTGAAACGCTCTCAGCTTTATTCAGTCCATGGATCCAAAAATCACTAGGGCTTTTTGAAAGGAGTGGGGAGGGGGAGATCAAAGTGGTTCAATTACACGCCATACCTAAAGAATGAAGGATTTGTTGCCCAGTAAATATGAGCATGCAAAGAGAGAGGGAGAGAGGGAGAGAGGGAGGGAGGCAGAAAAAACGAAACCTGACAAAATGGTCTGGAGAAATAATTACGTTACCAGGGAGTCAGAGGACCTCAGGAGGCTTCCTTGAGACAATTACATCTCAAGGCTAATCAAGATCAGAGCCGTGTTCAGGGCCCAAATATAGCAATTAACCAGTGAACAGCTTGAGATCCGAAAGGTAAGGCAAGGAAAAACAACCTCTACAGCACTTATTATTATTAGCCCCCACCCCCTTTGTACTTGCCTTGGAAGATCCTACCATACCTTCTTCTAGCAGTTGTCACTGCATCTCTTAACATGTTTTAAAGGGCAGTTAGAATATGTGCCCAGTTGTTCCTGCCAATTAATGTGGAGTGCATGTGAAATCCAACACCATTCATAAAGCCGCTGGGATCTACCACATGACAGGGGTTAAAAAAACCAAATTTGTTGCTGTGATTGAAAAAATCACACACACCCCACAGCTGTAGCTCCATGCATAGCTCCATTCACTGTCAGGACAAACCTTCAAAGGGCCCTAGATTCAGAGGCTGATTCTGCATTGGCTTTTCCCTTCGTTGTTTTGACAAACCCACATTGGAACAGAAATTCCTCTCTGCACTGCATGCTGTTTTCACTTCCTTGGATCGTCAGATTTTATAGGAGCTGCGGTGGCTCAAGTGGTTAAGACACTGAACTGCAGGCTGTGGAAGGTCAGTAGTTCAGCAGTTCGAGACCCGGGTGCCGCATGATGGAGTGAGCTCCCATCTCTAGTTCCAGCTCCTGCCAACCTAGCAGTTCGAAAGCAAGAAATTGCAGGCAGATCAATAGGTACCACTTTGGAGGGAAGGTGACAGCGTTCCGTGCACCTTGGTGTCTAGTCATGCCGCCCACATGACCATGGAAATCTCTGCCTAGTGGCTTCGGCTTTGAAATGGAGTCGGATTCGACTGGCTTTCGAGCAAGGGAACCTTTACCTTTACTTACACTCCATGCCACTTTCACTTCCCTTGATCATCAGTTTTTATGGTACCTTTTGCATGGATTTATGGCTGTTTTATGGCCATTTAAAGGTGACTCTGCAGTCAGTACTGCATTGCCCCGAGATATCTGAATGTGGTTTTGAGCTGCACTTTTTCCTCCCAGTTGAGAAAATGTGGAGCGAATGCTAGATGCAGAATCACCCAGAGTTTGAAGGGTGGGGGAGGGAATTGCATATGAGCTGCTGCTTAACTCTGGCCAAAGTAAGGATATCAGGTAGCAAATCAGGCCATCAGGAGGTCAAAGCAGGTCATGTGTTGATGGCCTGAACCCCCCCCCCCCCAGTAGCTTCCAGGTCAAGCTTGCTCTTTGGTCGGAGCAAGAGGAGACAGTCTGAAAGTTGCTCATCATATTTCCCAGGAGAAGGTATCTAGGGGATAGTCGGCATGCACGGTGTAGTAGGGATGAAGTTGACTATCTGAGCCAGCTCATCATCTATCAGTGCATTGATAAATGTGCTGGAAATTGGCAGATGAGAAATATTGACTTTGTGTAATTGTTTAATGGGCCATCTTTCATTCAGTCTGGCTTGGATTCCTTCTCTATGAACCACAGCACAGATTTGCTTGTCATTGATTTTCATTGGTTTAAAGAAGCACCCTTTGAATGCCATGTGGCAAATGTGGCTGGATCATGCCAAATATCTGAGCATTTAATTGTTTCAGGCTCAATTGGTTTGAATGTTTTTCAGTCAGTTCTCTTTCTCCCATTAGTTTTTTCTTAATTAATCATTTATATACCATTTAAATGGTACAAAGTGCTTTACAGTCATTTTGACATTGCTTTTCACAAGAGGACTATGAACTTAGCATAATGTATGTATTAAAGAGAATATACATGCACACAAGGACTTGTCAGGCAAAGGACATCCCTTTTCTCCCCTCCCCTTGCCATTATCTCCAGTGCTGCCCCCTCCCCAGGTTTTATCCCCTACACAAATTTCCAGTTCACCCCCCCCCACTTCCTACTCTTGCAGTCACTGTTGCTGTGTTAGCTACCATTTTATTTACTTGTTTATATATTTGCAGGTTTACATAATTCCTCCATTTTATCCTCACAGCAACCCTGTGAAATAGGTTAGGTTGAGAGTGTGACTGGCCCCAGGTCACCCAGTGAGCTTCCATTGCAGACTGGGGATTTGAACCTGAAGTCTCCCAAGTCCTAGTCCAGCACTCTTACCATTATACCAAAATATTCTCTGAACTCTTGGAGTTTCTTTCTTTTCATGCCTGCACCTCTGCAGATTTCATTCTGAATATGTGTGTGTGTGTGTGTGTGTGTGTTTACCACCAAATGAGTTGTTTTTAGGTAAGATATTTTTTGCAAACACCAGTTTTCAGAACACTAAATTTTAGCCACGCCTCACATCATTGTGTGGATTTGTCTATCCACATGGAGGCCAATCCTTGACTGCTACACAGGGATATGCATACTTAAATTTACACAGTGTTAAGCTGCTTACAGGTATGAGTCAGAGACAGTTAAGTGATCTGTGGTGTAGCTTGGCTCATATCTTATTTCTTGAGGTGCATTTTGCTTCAGAAATTTGGAAATGCTGTTTAAGCCTAACTAAAATTATTCTGGTTATGCTGAAGAAGCTTGCAGATAGTAGATTTATAATTCAAATTTTCACTCCTAGTAACACTTATTTTTATTGCCAATCATGCACTTAACCTGAAACTATTACTTTTGTTTGTAAAGAATTATGAGATGCATTTCAAGCTGACATCCTGTTTTTGAACCTGTGCAGTCAACATTCATCAGTCCTGGCATTCAACACCAATAGTCACTTTGAGGACATGCTCAGAATATGGTCACTTTAACTGCTTACTCAGACTCAGTTCAAATGTTAACAAACAAACCAGAGTTTGCTCATGTCGGATTTGAGCTTGGTTCAGATGCCTGAACATGGATACCTTGACAAATTGAGGTTTGTTTTCTTCCTAGTAACCGTAATTCTTAACAATACTTTCATTCTGGTTTAGAATCGTAACAACTAGGAAACAATAAACTTCAACACATTAAGATGCCCACACATTTGGATATCATGATAAATTAGAAGTATTTAAAGAAGAGGGGGGAGGACCATACAAGCCCAACGAGGTTCCTGAACTCCAGCTTGTTCATGGTGTCTGAACTGAATTTCAGTCTCTCACTGAGGAACTGCCACTTTTTGTGATAGCTGAAACTGATTTTTTAAAATGACATTCTGATTTTCAGAACAATGGCCTGGATCTTTCTTCAGTATGGCAAATCTAGTCGTCATCATGGAAACGTTGCACAATAGCTTAGGCATGATGCTGTCACCTGCCTGCCCCCACGCTCCAGTTCCCAAGCAGCATTACGACAATGCGCACAC